CCCCGGCAGCGGTGTGGAGTTGGAAGCTGCCAAGGTTCTGGGCTTGGTGGAGATGGAGACGCCGCAGAACAGCAGTGGGGCCGCGGGAACCCCTTCCCTTGGGACCGCATTTACGCGGAAGGGTTTGTAACAGCGGCCTGCACTAAACGCCGCCACCAGGGCGACGCCATGCCGAAACCGTTCAAAGTGTCCGAGGCGCCCTGGCACGCGGAGGGGACGACCGATAAGCCGCTCTTTGGGGTGAGACATCAAGGCGTACACCTCAACGACATGAATCTTGCCTTCTACTCCGCTCCTGTGGTGTTCAGCTGCGATGCGTTCAACGCCTGGGGGTTGGGAAACAAGGTGAGAGTGGTTGTGTCCTCTCGGTGAAACTCAATCGCAGATCAGTGCTGTAGATGTTGTAAGAGCTGTAGATGTTGTAAGAGGCCGAAGTATANCGGGAAACAAGGTGAGAGTTGTTGTGTCCTCTCCGTGAAACTCAATCGCAGATCAGTGCTGTAGATAGATGTTGTAAGACCTGTAGATGTTGTAAGAGGCCGAAGTATACTCAGGGCCGTACCCCGAGTGGACGACATAAATTGTTCAAACATTCAACGTGATGAAAAATATCGGGGGTTGTTTTGTATTTTTGTAATGAGGTAATGTTTGGTTTTTGGGACGGACGAAATAATAATGTTGGGAGCTTCGTGTCTTTTCTTGATTAGTTTGTGGTTTATGGGACGCTTTTTTTTCCTTCTTTTTTTTTTTTAATTTGATTTTTGGTTTATGGGACGCAAATTCGACTCCCTCATATGTCCTCGCGCATGGTACATCTTTCTCCGCAGCATTCCATTGGAGGCTCCTACTTTGACTGGGGTTGGCGAAGCCAAGCGGTGCAACGATTGAAAAATCAGACGCACGTCGGGACGCTCGCGACTCCCGGAGCACGCAGTGAAGGGGAGAATGGTCTACAATGCGAAATACTTGGACTGCTACAGCAAGGGTGTCTTGGGCGGCGTGTCCTCAGAGACGAGCAAGGGGCGAGATCGGAGGAAGAGGTACGGTGGACAATTGGTGTTGTAGTATTTCGAATCCTCACCCCCACTCTATTTGTAAGCGATAGGCTTTCGTAAGCAAGCACCTGCGGAATCGCCCCGCGCGTCAGCGCGAATTCGAACCCACCCTGTCGGGATGTCGTGCGTGACACTCTGTCGGGTCTTCTGTCCTTCGGTGTGTTCGACGATCAAAACAAGTCGTCCTTTTGCTGCAGGCGTTGGTGCGAGGTCACCTTTCTATTCCCCATGGATGGTCGGTCGAGGCGTCTACGTTGAAGTAGATGGGTATGCTTTCCTCGGGCAACGCCGTGCGCATGAAACGCTTGAGCGGACTCGGGTACCAGCACTAACCCGCCAACTCTTGAACCGCTTACACCACTAATGCTGCTGTCTCCTTGCCACTCGGCAGGTGTTTGTGCGTGGTGGTCTGTTGCTGATGTGTGGGGATGGACCCGGGCGCTCGAAATGCCTAGGCACGAAGGCTCCGAACAACTTTTCCAAGTTCCCCTGCTCCTATTGCATGGTGAGCCATGGCGACGACGAAACCGGCGGGGATGTCGGCAACCCTCAGTTCGACATCGACAAGCACCGGCGCACTTCGGGCCGGACGATGGACGGCTTCTCCGAGCTGGAAGCGCTTGCGGATGATCCCCTCCAACAGGAGGAACGCTCGAAAGAGTTGGGTCTGGTTGCACCGAACGCGTCCGGACTCAAGTTACCTCTGTACCATGCCATGCGCATTGTTCCGGGGGACCACGTACCCGTCGAGCGTCTGCACTTCGACGCGCTGGTGAGCGAGCATGATGTTTATCCTGCGTGTGAGAGACCAGCTGGACTGACCCCTTTTGACCAAAACCTGGAACTAGAAATGCCATGGCCGCCAGAGTGTGGGCTCGCGAAACCGTGGACTTCTGAATGCCGATATTTCGATAACCCTGTACACTTTGTTGGCTGAGCGCAACCCGTTTTATCCTTGCTACCCGTTTTCTCCTTGCTTGGCGGCAACCCTACCTCCGTTTCCACTCTATTTAGGGGCAATGTCAGCTGTGCCAGGTTTTCTGCTTGGAACTACTCTCGAAGAAAGGTCGCCGGCTAGTCTCAGCCATCATGGCTCAGAAGTCGTCTTTGCTGTACCCACCCGGCACAGACAAGCTAAAGGATATCCTGACGGACTACCCATCTCTCACTGGGAGCGACAAGTGGACGCTGCAATCGATCATGCTCCTGGTGTTCCGAGTTGTGCTGCAGGATATCCCGTCCATGGTGAGATCTCAGTGTGACGTATTGCAGCGCGACCTAACCCAAAGCACTTACCGCAGGTACAATCAGTGTGGGTGCGTGTGTGTGTGTGTGTTTTTTTTTTATTATCGATAACCGCGACGAAGAATCGCTCCCGCCCGGCACAAATCATGCAATGTTGTTGCGCAAAAATCGTTGAAGCGGATATCTTCTTGCCTCATTTGTCGCAACCCCTCGGAGAACTAACCCCAAGCTGTTGAATCCCGGCATCCCTGCCCTCTTTGTGTAGGATTTTAACAATCATTTTTGTTTGTGGCCCAACGAAATAGATGGGATAAATCCCGTCGGGTTACTTGTTGTGGTGTTGGCCCGGACCCAGAACGAAACGCAAAATATAGAAGTATTCTACGGAGGACACACAGCCGTCGTTCTCGAAATCCTCAACGCTTTTCTCAACAACACTTTGACGGCTGTACTTCGAAAACTCCTTACACGGAGCAGTCACGACCGCCTGCTCTCACGGATGGCCGACACACCCTATATGGTGCACTATTCGGCGACAACAAATAACCACGGAGCTCTCAACGCCTTCCCCGCGCGCGCGTTCGATTCTGTCGCATGACTCCCGGGCATGTTCACCTGAAGAGGAGAAACATGAAGAAGAGGGACATGAAGGCGTTTAAAGCGGAGTGGGGAACGTACGAGTCTGTGTTGGACGCGCTACGGACGCTAATTCAAATGGTGTCTCTCCTGTCCTTCGCCCTCCGCGCACCATCATACAACGACAAGGAACTACGACAACTCGACAACCTCGCGCGTGACGCGTAAGTTTGGTTATTATTCTCGTTTTTTTTTTCCTCTTGCACGAACACAGCAGACCGGGTGTAAAACAGAGAGCGGAGACGCTGGCTGTTGCGTGATAAACCACTACACATCATGAACGCAACACGGAGGGCAGTAGTGTTTCGGCGCCTGGTTTTTTGGGGTGGTGGTGGTGGTGGGGGGGGTAATTTGCTTTGGAATGGCTCTCGATGCAGCTCCACAAAATGTAGCGTATTGGCCACGAAAATTGTCCCCGACAGCTTCTTCATCTCACCGGACCCGAACCCACTCCGAGTTTTGTTGGGGTCAACCTCAAAAACTGTAACTGGTATGCACAATGTGAACAAAGAACAACTTGTGGCGCAAAATTATACTCGCCTTTCAGGTCGGGGCTTTCTCGCAAATGATGGGGAGGACGGGATCCAGGCCTACCATCCACTCCATGCTGCACGCCGTAGAAGCCATTCGTCTGCACGGTGAGAAATTCCAAACGAGTTGAGCAGAGTCGCTGTGGCCTCTCTGGAGAGCAGCTGTACCTTGTGACCATCATGGGGACGAAACACGGTTGCTTATTTGCGGGTGGAGGGGTTTTGTCACGTGCCACTCACCGTTCAGCACCCGCCTCACATAACCCTTTTTGGCTACTGCAGTAGTGGCGTTGGCGTCTTCGTGCTTCATACTTACTGCCCTGAAACAATAGACTAGTGCACGAGTCTTACCGTATCAGCTCTCGCTGCCCGAACATCCAATGAACACCGCAAATCCAGGGGTATGTCCGGATGCGAGTACGGGGGAACACGCTCACCAAATGAACAAGTCTGGAAAAGCTGTGGACTGCGGTAGGATGCCGTCACTGCACATGGCTAAGCGCGCGAACGTCAACTTGGCGCTTGTGGCGTTGTCCAACGGGCTGCCGTACAGAATCACCAAGTACAACCGGAGTTTCAACGCCCACGAAGCAGTGTCCGTCAAACCTGGTGCTGGCTGCGTTCAGCTCATGCAGTCGCTTGCGAGCTTCCTCGGACACGCCCGAGTGCCGACCGACATTCATGCCAAGGCTATTCAAACGCCAGCACAGCTGAGAGGCCAATTCCAGGGGTCTGCAGTTTGGACTGCTTCTCTGTTCAACGCCGGCGCGGGCGCGCCCGCGTTGAACGAGCAGCAGGATGGTGGCGAATGGCTTTCTCGCTTGGAGTCCAGCAAGTTCCGGCCCGACAATGCCGCGCTGCTGGGTGGGTACAAGAAGTTTTTCGCATGCGACATGGCAGGCGCGTGCTCAAACATTCGTTGCCCGAACTGCTGGGTCGGAGACGACCTGGAAACGGTTACCATCGAATGCTCACGCTACCTCCGAGTGCCCATGGCAGCGAGTTGCGGCGTTGGTCGTCTTAAGGGCGGCGATGTCAAGTCCGCTGCTCAACCTGGGCCGCGTGACGACTGGGCACTCGGGAGTGGTGGTGGAGATAACGTAGAAGTGCACCAGCAACCTTCCACGATGGGCGAGGCGGGCCGTGTGGATCCTCGGGACCTCAGCCTTGTGAAGGTTTTGTACTTCTTCCGCCACCAGGGGAATCCGCCCCTCATGGGCGGGGCCCCACCACCGCTTACATGGTGGGTACTCGGGTATGACTACACCGGGGTTCGTCACGGCAACGACCGAGCCCCCGACTCCGTCACCGGGCACCCGACGTTGCAACTTCGAGGTCGGGGGCGCCCTGTTGTGTACCCTGCTGACGCCATTCATAGGCAGGTGCACCTCTACCACGCGTGTCCGTTGAGGAACGAACATGGAGCTGACGACAGCTCTCACGTTTGCAAGGAAGAAGTGGTAGTGGGTGGTAGTTCCGGTCGGAGACGTGTTTGGCGCCACTACTTCCGCGAAGCAACGCCAGGAACCGACGGGTACGATAGGTACTTGGTGAACGAATGTCACCACAGCATCACCCAAGACACTTTCATCTGAGCACGTGAGGCGGTCAGATCATCCAGCTTTCAGAGGTGAGTTTGATGGAGAAGAGAGACGTTTCGTGCGAATGGAAGGAGAATTTTCGAGAATTTCTAAGTGTATGAACAAGTATGTTGATTCGTGGACTTCGGGGCACGACCCACCTTCATGGGATGATATTCAAAATACCGTGTGCTCCGACGCACACATGCTCTCCCATCATTTTGTCGCGCCCTAGACTAGACTATATGTTCCTTTTCATCTTTTTGCGGCCTGCCAAAGACGGCCGTCAATTATTGACTTCTTCACTAGAACTGAAAGTGACAACTCGCCGTCTCCCCCTCTCTGTGTCCTCTGCTGCCCTCGAACGTTCGCATCCTTTGTGCAGAATTTTACGCATGGTCTGTTGGAGTGCGGCATATCATTGTGGCATGAAGGAAACGCCCGCCTGAGTCGGCCTCATGGCAGGAGATCGCCCACCTCAAGTGCGAGGCGGGGCATTTTACGCTCAGGCGGGGCATTTTACGCACGTCGTCTGTTCAACTATTTGTTCACATTTTTTGGCGTTTTGACCAGTTTTGGCATGTGGGGGTTTCGTGTTGCACGTCGGCACGACGGCAATGATATACTGGCGGACACGAGAGTATATAGACGGGACAAATAACTGCGAAATACCACACATTAGTTGGCCTATAATACACGCGACACGTATACTTGTGCACAGAGGCATTGTAAGCATGCATTGCACGCACACCACGTGTTTTTTGCCTCGCTCAGCTCATCATAATATCTAGTGTCTACACGCATAGTCAACATCATATATATCTCACCTTGCTTTCGCCCTCACAAGCACACACATGAAGTCGATCCTTAAGCCAGGATCCGCCCTCGAAGGTCGAGCTGCAAGTAAGGAAAATCACTATGCGGGAACGTTCAACCCGGCTAGATCTACCCTCCTTACTGCTGCTTTTTCAACGAATGGTGGTCTTGGCAAAGGCGCCAATCGACTCATCGTTGCTATCGCCAACCACTTGGCGCACGAAGCTTTTTGCCGGGGAAATTTTGACGACGAGAGGGCCTTAGTTCGCCTGAAAGCGTTTCATACTAACAGGATTCGGAGACGGTTTACCTTCGAGCTAGCTCGTTTTCTGTCGATGCGAACTCGCGATGTGTTCAAACGTCATGGGCTACTGATCGACCAACTTCCACCAGGGCCAATCGGTTGGGATCTCTGCAACAACGATAGTGGTGAGAGTGATTCTTTTGGGGGTGACGAAGACGAAGGAAAGGGAAAGGGGAGAAAGGAGGATGACGACGACGATGGAGCAGGAAAACATGGTGGAGTGGAAGAGAGCAGAGGGTTTGAGCCAGATGACTTTCCCCACAACAAGAAACGTAGGGCTAGGGAAGAACTGCCCAGAGATTCTTCTTGTCGAAATGAGGATCAGAATGATGGTAGCGAAAACAAGGAGGACACTGGTGAAAGTACTCCTAAACGAACTCGAGTACTAGGTAATAGCCTTGGTAGACGCGTGCATTTTTCGTCTGTTGCTGCTGTTTCTGTTTTTAATCCGAAGGATAGTNGGTGGAGTGGAAGAGAGCAGAGGGTTTGAGCCAGATGACTTTCCCCACAACAAGAAACGTAGGGCTAGGGAAGAACTGCCCAGAGATTCTTCTTGTC